TCCAAATTCAGAACTAGAAACCCACCAGTCTAGTAGAACTTAAGAACGCTGAGGATGACACCCTTTCCCATCAAACCTACAGGACTGAAAGCCCCATGGCAATTACTCCAGGGGGGGAAGAGGAGGGGAAACAGTCTGAGGGGCACCTGGTGAATTTCTTGTTGATGACTTCTGTGAAAAGTCTTCAATGTGCAGTATATTATACTTAAATGTTTTGAAGGGAGTGTGGGAGTGAAACATGCTCATGCACTGAAGCCCATGCCCCCAGTTTCCACAAAGTCTTCTGAGTCCCGAAGGAGGGTGGAGAAGGGGAGAGAAAAAGGGCAGACTAGAGAGGGCCTTTTCTGGTCCTCGCCTTGGCCTGGGAGATTTATATTTGTAATCCCATGGATAAGTTATTGGAATACCATCAAGCTAATTTCAGTCTACCACTTCCAGTGCAACCCATGGCAAGAATAAAGACACTGAAGCATACTTACAGTTATGGAGAGCCAAGGGGTCCTAAGTCCAGCCATGGTGATGGCTATCCAGAACAAAGGCCTTGACTCAGGGCCGAACCTTGGTTTTATTCAGTCATGAAGGAAGAGTAGCTTGAGGATGAGTGATTGAGAATGGCAGGAAGTAGGTGAGCACTGTGAGCTGGGCCAGGTGGGAGGCCTGCATTTACCTCTGCGATATGTAGAGAAGGCTACTGCAGAGAGTAATCTGCATTGCACAACTGAGACAGTATCTAATGTTTAGGGTCCAGTGCTTCAGCTCTAATGTGTAATCTTTCAGGTTCCAGGAAGTCACAGCCACTATCTGGGGGCTCAATCCTAGCTGACAGTGTAGAGCACTGGCTCTTCTTCCTGTCTCAACCGGGCTCATGCTAAAGAGCATCAGGTGGGGGTTACCGGGGAAATACGTGGGCTGTCTTCGAAGACTACCACCAGAACATTGGTTAAACCAATATGCATTGCTTCAAGCCAGACGGAGACATAAGGAAAAGTCCTCCCCAGCTCTCTGATATCAATACATGGAAACAGAGTCAGGTGCAGCCAAAATGGAGACAGTTGCTCTTCCTTCCAAGAGTTACTCAGGTGGTCCTCCACAGTAGACAAGAGGGGAGGCTCATTAGCTATCAACCAGGCCTTTAGAACATTGAGGGCGGGATTTTAAATCTAAACCATAGCACCTGGTTTATGGTTTAGACTTGAACCCATTCTCCCTCATGCCTTTGCCCCTCACATGCTCCCACTCGCACCTTTTGTTCCTCTCTGCCCCCTCCACTCTGGAATCTGGAGACGTCAGCCCTGTGCGACCCAGAGATGCCAAAAATAGGGACTTGACTTCTGGACAGAGGACATGGGCCGCACCCCCAGTGCACCCACCACTGCATCTCCAGACGGCTTTATTACTTCATATGCAGCTCATCTTAAACCAACAGAATTGCTCAATGGATGAGTGTCTGACTCAGATACCTACCTTGGAGGGAGTTTTTCTTTTGTCCTTCAAGCTTTTATTGAAGTGCAATCATCCGAGATGATTTTAGATCTTGTTAAAAGCAGCCACATCCACCCACTGCACGTAGCCTTCGAAAGCAGTGATCTGTTCTTCCAGCATATATATCTAATCTTCAATCACGCCCTGTATTTGCAGCTTTTTAATTGCATATCCCACTGGACCTAGTTTAGAGGAGCCCCAGACCAAGCCATCTGCTTGAACGCTTCGGACGCACTCCTCTAATTTCACCATATCTGTTTCGTCACCCCAAGGTTTCACATCTAGCAAGATGGAAGACTTGGCAACAAGTGCAGGTTTTTTGGCTTTCTTGGATCACACTGTGCAAGCCGTTCTTCCCTTAGCCTCTTTGCTTCTTCACTTTCCTCTTCATCATCAGAACCGAAGATCGTCTTTATTGTCCACAGCTCCACCTCTGGTGCTATCTTCCACATTGGCAGGATCATGTTTGTCTAAAGCTTTCTTCACTCCTGGCAGGCTGGCCTTTTCTTTTTCGTAAGACTTGATGTGATCGTACCAACATAGCACATGGCACAAGTCGCTAGGCGGGGGCCAGAAGACTGCTTCAGATACGACTGCATCTGCCTGTGCAGGCACAGACCCCTTGAGGCAGCTCTTGCCAGCCAGGTAATCACTGAGCGCCTGCAGGCCAGGAGGGCATTCTGCCACTTTAGGGAATTGATGACTGGGCTTTGGGGTTGAATTTTTCTTTTTTTCTTTTTAAAGAGAAACCCTGGGATCCATCTGTGCTTTCTTCTCTTTGTTCTTAATTTTTAATTAATTTGGGCAAGTAACTTTTTTTAAAAAAATAAATGTGCTTTTTTTCTTGCTTTCCCATATTAGAGGTGATAGCCAAAGGGGTTTTGGCAAGAGGAAGGGGAACCAAGGGAACTGGTAGAGGCCTGCTGGGCTTCAGAGCTGACCACAGGAAGTGATTTTGTAGGACATTAAGCCCTTCCCTCTAAAATCACTTCCAAGTCACCTGCCTGTGCCAAGTTTCCGCTGCACTTGGGGAGGGGTTGGCCCTGGTGGCCGCCTTTTCTCCTTACACCTTGGGTAGGGCTGGACACAGTAGCTGAGGGAGATGGAGGGTGCCATCCTCCTTGTGTAATGTGTCTATCTTTTAAACTACTAATTGCAGACTGGAGGAGAAGGAATGAGGACGGGAATCTTGTCAAATGTGTTGAACTTAGGTTGGGTGTTTATTATAAATGGATCTCCCTCAGTTACCCCAGAAACGAGGCATGTTAAATTTTTTTCTCCTAGATCAAGGAGGTGCATAGAGGAAGGAGATTGCAAAAATCCAGACTTGGGGGAAAGCAAGAACACTGTCCCAGCCTTGCCTGAACCCCATCTGATCCCCTCAAACACCCTCAGAATTTTATAAGACTAAGAGGGTATTCCCTCCCCT